GATTTTCAGTACAAATCGGCAATTTCATACTTTAACCCCTATTATTTATCACAGACGGTAAAAAAATACAAAACTCGATTAAATCGTTATTAAAGTTATTATTTCTAATGGTCTCTGTTTATCCGCTTGTCACAGTAATTAATACTCTATACTAGTTTATAACAGATTTTAAATATCACGCGCCAAATTCACAGAGACCCACCGTCATTATTTTCTTTCCAAGTCTCTCACACTCAAAGCCTATTTTGTCAAAGAGCGTTCGTTTATAAAGCAGTCAATGCTTCACACCATCACACCACACAATAAAAATAGAAATGTTTTTACTGTTTTATTCCTTTTTCAATTCGAAGTTACGCGGGTAATGAGAGCTATTAGGATCTCCTTATCCCATTGCAATATTCACTGGATATTACTTTAACACTTTCTTGTTTATTTTCATTACTTTTTAATTTTAATATTTTATTACTTTAATTTTTTTTCAGGCTGATTATATATAGTGGCTCCCATTTGACATACGGGATTCTTATCGGCTCCCATTTCCCGAACTGTGGGGTAATGAGAGCGAATGACATGTTTTAGTTTTTTTCTTTTTTAACCAAATATTTTATTTTAGTTTCATATTTTTTCTGTGTATTATCTAGTACCCAGATATGTGAAGCGTATGTTCATAACTATGACGTTTATTGTCAATTTTCCTTAGTAGGTTCCCATTCCCCCACGCTCCCCTAAACTTTACTTAAAAATTCTCCGACACATTTTGTGGTCGAGATCTAACTGGGAAAAGATCTAATGATCTTTAAACAGATGAGCAGATATACATCAAAATCAACAAGCTAAGAACCATCCTGATTAAATTAGGTTTGAAATAAAAACGGTTTTGAGATAAATCCATCCGTTTTGGAGCTGTGAGGGCACAGATAGACGTCTAGTGGTAAAAAAAATTACATTTTTCAGAAAAATAAATATTTTTCCGGATATTGTTCCAATATATTTCGTTCAATTTTCCACATTTTCAAAAGTTGAAGTTACTGAACGAAAACAATGGAGCCATTAAAAAGTTTTTTTTTTCGCTTTTGTGAAATCATTTTAAATCTCGTTTTTCTTTAGGTGGCTTTTAACTATACGAGTTTATTTTATAATTCCTGAACGTAGAACATAATATGAGCTTTCGAAACATTGACTTACAATTATATGGACGTCCGCGCTAAAAAGTGTCCGCACTTGTAAGGCGCTAAAATCGTATACAGGGCGCCAAACTCCGCTTTAGTCTTCATTTGTTCTACTGACAGCGCGATACTGCGATGACATTACAATTTAAATTTCGAATAGGTTGACTTGGGACATTTTTTTCGTGGTTTTTGTATTAGACCCGTTGTCCATTTATTTGTAAGTCAATGTTTCGAAATTATATATTTCCAATTTTTTTTTAATTTTGGGATTTTTTTCCGGAAAAGTTTCCACTATTTGAAATATTTCAGAAAATTACCCAACAGTAGACTTTTATAACAATATTTAAAAATGTGTACCTGCATGGCAGTGGATAGCGACGCGGCCCTCTTTCAACGCGAACGATAGCACCTTAGCCATGTCCAGTAGTCCTGAGAGGCTCGCCTCACCGTAGTCCGCCCACGCGAAATTATAATAGTAAACTGCCAACAAAATAAGTTCTACAACTCGCTATCAATGATGACCCGCCGATAAAAATTACGAAGTGAGTATCTTGTATAGTTGTAAAAGTGTGCATAGGTTTTGCAGTCGCCGGTTTACTTTTAACGTTATATCAAACAACAACAGAAAAGAAACAGAAAAGTTTCTTTGGGGAACAAGGATACAGTATCTATCTAATAATAATAATAATAACGCACACATTCAACATAGCCCCGCATTAGGGAAACCCTGTGTGGCGGGTGCCATGGACACATAGACAACCACAAATTACACCCAAACTCACGAGATACAAATCGGAATCGGACCTGGGATCTCTGCGTGGCAGTCCGGCATGATAACCGTTCGACCACAGAGGCAGTTTACATATAATCTACATATATATTCTGCTTTATCGGTAAGTGCTTTGTCGTGCTACGCTAGTCTCTTTCGTATATAATTATGTCTGTGATATGATTGAAAATAGCAACTACAGCAGGGTGTGGTCTCCAAAAGTGGTCATATATACTATGAGGTTCCGATCCCATTATTACAATTTTCTGACGGTTTTTCCAGAATGAAGAATGGCAATCCCTGATGTTTTAGTTCTCTATGTGTTTTATTCATAAGGAATTTTACATTTTTTTAGATTAGATTCTGATTGTATGACGTATGCTGGGAAACACATTTCACGTGCCCTTTATGATGAGCAGTCTTGATCTAAAGTTTGCATAAGTGAGAACAGAACAGAAGACTTAAAAAGATTGTAATGATATAAGACCATATTCTGAATAACTCAGAAAAGAAATCCAAGTTTATTAATTTAACGTAATTTTCTGACAATTTTTTACTTTACAGATTAAAAGACTTTCGTGATTATTCACAAAATGATTATCACTAATTACAGGTTTCTTACCACACGGTAGGAGTTCTTTTATAATATTATTATATATTTTTCCGACATTTCGGAACTGTTACACGCTCCATTGTCACGGGTTGATTGGTCAACGGCAGACAATAGTTTTAAGAACAGACGTAATATTTGTCTACGTTCTTTCCTTGATTTCTTTCCTCTGGATTACTTGTGGCGTTACCATTGTCAGGTATCACTCACATTCACACGCACGTAGCATGTAACCGTTCAGAAATATCGGGAATATAAAAAGAACTCATACCGTGGTATGAAACCTGTGATGATACTTATTAAATTTTTACTTACTATCGTTGGCCATAAAGACGTTGGGGTCGTAGGTGAAACCGGAGGTGGTAAGCGGGGGTCCGCAGCTGGCGTGCTCTCCCGGTGTCTGCAGGTTCATCACAGTCCGGATACCCCAGCTAGAAACAATTTACGTTAACGCATTTGCTGACGTAACGACACAATAAGAGATGCTCACAGGCGGGCTAGATTGTACTTTCAACAGTGGCTATCGTTAAACAAACCTACTTCGGGAAGCGCGTACGAAAATATGTGTTTAAGTCGCAAAATATTCAAAACTAAATTGAAGTGGTGTCAAAATCACCAAGAACAGATCAAACTAGATATTATTACATCACATCACGCAACAAAAAACTTTGGGAGGTTTTGGAAAGCGACGGCGGCGCTGGGTGGGAGGCCTGGACTGCCTGTGAGTGTCGGAGACGCCAACGAGCCCGAAGCTATTGCGAACGTGTTCGTTAAACACTTCAAGGTAAAGTCTCCGCTGGGGCCCGCGCAGCAGGGGGTCGATGATGGGGCGTGCAGTTGCCCTGACCTGGTTCGTTTTTCTGCTAAACAAGTCCATGATGTTATCAGAAAGATGACTAGAGGGAAGTCACCGGGGCATGACGGCCTCAGCATCGAGCACCTGCAGCACGCCGGCGTCCACTTGCCTAGAGTGTTAGCAACGTTTTTCTCATTATGCATGGCGCATTCTCACCTTCCCTGTGATCTCATGCGGACCATTGTAGTTCCAATTGTTAAGGATAAGACTGGCGATATAGCAGATAAATGTAATTACCGACCCATCTTACTGGCAACTGTTTTAGCAAAGGGGCTCGACAGCCTATTGGACTCATGCCTCAAAAACTTTTTGCATCTTCATGACGCACAGTTCGGGTTCCGTTCTGGATTATCCACAGAGGCTGCCATCCTCAGCTTGAAGCACACGGTACAGTACTATGCGGAACGTCGGACACCTGTTTATGCAGCCTTTCTGGACCTTTCCAAAGCATTTGACCTCGTTTCGTATGATGTCCTGTGGGACAAGCTGAGGAGCAGAAAGGTGCCGGCAGAGCTGTTGCGCATCTTGCAGTATTGGTATTATAATCAAGTGAATAGCGTGAGATGGGCTGATAAATTGTCGGATACGTACAGGTGCGGGGTAAGGCAGGGGGGCATCACCTCGCCTAAGCTGTTCAACCTGTATGTGAATGACCTGATTGTCGAGCTCAGCAGCAGGCGGATAGGGTGTCGCGTAGATGATGTTACCATCAATAATATCAGCTACGCTGATGATATGGTGTTGTTGAGTCCGACAGTCAGAGCACTCAGAGAGCTGCTGGTAATATGTGAGAGGTATGCTCTAACTCATGGCTTGACATACAATGTCAAAAAGAGCGAGTACTTGGTGTTTAAGGCCGTCGGTGGCAAAAGTCCTGATTATGTCCCACCCATTACATTAAATGGCGTAGATCTTAAAAGAGTTTCCCAATTTAAATATCTTGGCCACTTTGTAACCGACGACCTTAAGGATCAAACAGACATAGAAAGGGAGCGGAGGGCGCTGGCGGTCCGATGTAACATGTTGGCCCGGCGGTTTGCGCGCTGTGGTGAGCAGGCAAAAATCACGCTTTTCAAGGCCTATTGCCAAGTACACTACACGTGCAACCTATGGTCCAACTTTACGCAAAAGGCCATTAGCGCCTTTCGTGTTCAGTACAATAACGGCTTCAGGATGCTGATGGGGCTGCCTCGCTTCTGCAGCGCGTCGGGAATGTTTGCGCAGGCTCGTGTCGATGACTATTACGCCATCATGCGCAAAAAGACGGCCTCGCTGCTCTGCAGATTGCGGGCCAGCACAAACCCCATCCTGATGACCGTAGCAGGGAGATATGATTCCCCCATGATGCGACATTTTTTGCAGGTGCTTGTTAGCAAAACGTGTTCATCAATTTGCTGACAAGCGCCATTAAATATTAATTTTCTTTTCGTTTTTACTAACATAGCCACTAAGAAAACTGTAACTAACCAATTTATGGATCACGTTGTCTGAAATAAAGATGTAAATAAAATAAAAAAAACTGTTTATTGTGTAACCATCTCTTACGTTCCGGGTTCAATCTCCAGCCGGTTCAATGTAGAAAACCTTTTTTATATTGTATCGCGTCTGCGTGTTTGTCCAACCGTCGTTGTTTCCGATTTCCATAACACAATTGCCTAAGTTACTTACTTTGAGATCGGAGCAACGTATGTTATGTTGTCTAACATTTATTTGTTTAAAACTCCAAAGTGGCGGCGTGAATTATTACACTGTAAATGATTAGGCAAAGCGCTTAAGGCTCAGTTTATAATGCGGCGGAACGGAATAGAAGCGAGTCTTTGTAACAATATTGTACATAGCATAAAGAACTTTAAGGGCAATTGTGTAACGTATAAACTAGATACGAGCCAAAATCTTTCGCGGAATGCGCGAGCATTCGTATCTAGTTAGTACGTTACACAATTCATCAAAAAGTTCTTTATGCTACGTACAATATCGTCACAAAAATTCGCTTCCATTTCGTTCCGCCACAATATAACTTGAGACTTAATGTGAAGGTGATATTTGTAGCTATAAAGAGAATGGCAATCTAAGTTACGGTAACGAAAACGAGCGGCAGATACCTGTGGAATTGCTGCACGATATTTCTAGCGGCAATGCCCGCCGTGTTGGGCCGTGCCATCGCCAGAATGTCGTCCGTGATCCTGCACATGACACCGATATATTGTCTTTGTTTTTTTGGCTCATTCAGTTTCGTATAAAATTCGTATAAATACCTAAATTGTAATATCAAAATTTCACTAAATGCACGTATTCATTATAACACGTCACAAACACACAAAACCTTCATCCAAACCATCCATTAGGCAATACGTTAACATATTTGGGTAAGATCTCACAAATGGTGCTATGGTAAAAAAAAGCGTTAAAAACAAAAAACATAGATAGATAGATAGATATGCAACAAGCATTTCGTTGGGTCTTCTGGTTCGTTTCGTAACGTAGATGCGACGACGCTCTTGCATCTCGCCTGGTATGGCTGAAAACACTGGTTCTAATCCAGCCGAAACGAATGAATTTTTCCATGATCCAACACTACTCATACATACCTTTGATCATTGGTATAAACGCGCAATCTATTCAGTGACCTTATACAGAAAATAAAACAAATATATGCATCGCAACAAAATGTGAAGCCCGGAGGTATTTCGCCGCATTGCATTAGAGTGCAGGTCATTTCAATAGCGGACGTTAAAAGGAAATAAATTTTATGTAGATGGGACATGATTAACATAATAAGCGCCCGCCATTTGACACGTTACTCGTACATTTATTTAGGCGTGTTTTGAACATATTATTATTCATTAATTGTTGCAGGTTGCGAAAATAACTCATGGCTATTTCTTTGTTGTGTAAGGGCGCGTTCCTATTATGTCGTGACGACAGATAGTCGTGCACTTCAAAAATGTCGTTGCTTGTATATTTAAATGAAGTTATTCTCACAAAGAACAACATGATTTACTATCGTTCACGACTTTTTGACGTTACGACGACAGACTGTCGTGCCAATGGGAAGAGCTAGATCGACACTCGTCCGACGATAAATAAAACATTACGATAAAAATGTGATACCTAATCAGTAGTTAGATACCCCAATATCACCTATTCGAGTGATCCAGACACCCCAAAACCATTTTTCAAGAAACAATTACAATTATCTATTCAGATAGTGGTTCTATTTTTATTCAAAGCGATCATTTATCTACTCATCAACTCATTTCATTTATTCAAGTACGTCTTGAAAAAATGGTGGCTTGAAAAATTGGGGATCACTCGAATTTATGATATTGGGGTATCTGGATAACTCTCTGTATACAGAGACCCCAATATCTAACTTACTATAATCGCAGCTTCAAACGATTCTGTCGTGCAAACGACAAGGCGGCTGCCGTGAACCGATAAATTGTCGTCATGATCTAGTGAGAACAGCTAGATACGATAGTCGTTCAATGATAAAATAATCGTCCACGACATGACAGATAGTCATGATATGGGAACAGGCGCGACAGTCGTCCAACGATAAATAAAACGTTACGACATAATAGTATCGCGCCCTTACAATTACAAGGTTGTCAATTCCTTTCACCACGATGGTAAGCATTAGAGTGCATGCCATAGATACGATCAGAAGAAATTACAGGGTATTACTTAATAAGTTGTGGTAGCCTTATGGTTTCACCTACCATCGCTACATCAGAGTGTCGTGGGTTCGGGTTGATCGGATATTTAATTTGAGTTTTACATGAGCTTTTCGGTAAAAGAAAACATCGTGGTATTGACTACTGCCGTTAGTTAAAAGGGCGTTTCTGACAAAACTCAAAACCGAGAAAATAATGTTCAAATGAATGAAATTTAAAAAATATTTACTTTTCGCTTGCGGTAACTTCATACTTTATCCACCTAGGAAAAAATAGGGACAGATCGGCCTTTTTTTTGTTGATCACGGCAGTTTATAACAATTTGTGGCGAACCACAATTAAATTCGCGCGCCCGCAAGTCCATTCCGTGAGACGCCGCCTGCGAGTGCCGCTGACCAATAAGAGACCAGAGGCGAAAATAAGGTAAATGGCATGGCGGCTTGGTTTGTAAAAACTTGGTACTCAAAACTTGTGAACAAAACTTGAGACATTTTAGTGAATATAGAAATTACTATAAGATCGGTGCTGTTAATTATCCCAGAACCTGACAATTTTTTTTTAAATGTCACATGCGCCATTTCAACTAACGGCGGCAGTGCATACATTTGCAAAGCAATTTAATGATGTGTGTGATATTCTCGACCGCAAGGCTGCATTGGGCTCGCGTGGGAACTACAACCCAAGTTCTCACATTGCGAGAGGAGGCCTGCGTCCAGCAGTAGGACTTTTTTTATTATTCAAATGTAAATGCGCATTTGATCTCTATCTCACCCGGTGGAAAGTGACAATGAGGTCGATGAAGGAGTATGTACATTTAAATAATGCCTTAAAAAGGTCGAAGCTTTAACGTTCAGGGAACAAGTCTGCAGGCAGGGAATTCTACTCCATATAGAAATGTGGAACCGTAACGCTTCGTGCGAATCTTTGAAATACCCACAACATAGGGGTGGAATCCAAGCTTACGTCTAATCCCCCGATGATGGAAAGGGGAAGGCGGAATTAAATCGTGTAATTCCATCGCACACCCTCCGTGATATATCCTGTAAAATACCGATAAACAGGTAACTTTACGGCGGTGTTCAAAGCTCTGCAGTTTCGCCTCTACTAATTCGGAGTCACCTATAAGCCTCTTGACACGCTTGTCAATTGAATCCAAAGTGGTCAGTTCTTTACAATGGGCTAACCTATTTCAGGCGCCAAGCAGTAATGTGAACATTACTGCGTTTCGGTTTGAAAGGATAAGGGTGCTGGTAAAATTACAGGCACATGGGACTTGTCAATTTATGTTTCAGGGTGAAGGGCGCAGTGGCAGTGGCCCTCAGATCTTTGCGATTTAAAGCTCTGAGTGATATTGCAACTGTTATTGGACAGGCGTGTCGCTTCCCACCAGGCGCACGACTTGTTCGTCCCGTCACTTGGTGTTATAAAAAAAAAGTTATTGTACAGTTGGTCGCGGTAACCGAGTGAGCCCCGCCTTTGCGGCATAACTGGTTGAATGTTGTGGGACATGCAACAGTGATTTGTGACGTGTACGTTGTCCGCGCGGAGTACGATAAGTAATTCCAGTCACTAACTCGGGGTATTCCACTCATACCCGGATATTGTCGTAAGAAATATACATCCTCATATCATAGATTTACCTTTCTTCTAGAGTTAATTATTTTATGATTATCTCTATGACAATCTTCTGTGTAGGTTATGGAGGGTCTGCGAACACGAAAATTAACGTATAACTGTCTCCGTGGCCGAACCTTACCTTAAGGTTACCACGATGATCTGCCACGCAGAGGTCCCCGGTTCGATTGCCTGGGCCAAGAGAAATATTTGTATGGCCTACATTTATTTACGTCGTGAGTTTGGGTATAATTTGTGGTTGTATATGTGTGTGTCCATGGCATCCGCTATATTAGGGCTTCCCTAGTTCGGGGCTGTGTGTGTGTGTTATTATTGGTTAGGAATATTTGACGAAATCTCTTGTAAAACTCAGTTTTTATATTTTAGGTTATTATAGAAGCTTATACTGTATAAACATCACTGTATGAGTTTATTGTGAGTTTATGAAAAAGATTTCGAATGCGAAAAATTTATATTCGAAATTCTTTGTTGAAATTCGAACCGGAAATGGTTTCTTTTATATAGGTCGGTAGGGTATTTTTAACGATTCAAAAAGCTTTTATTATAGGCCTTAAAGCCTGATATTCATGAACTACATAATCAAATTCACCGAAGCGTTGTATTAACCATGACCTCAGTGGCTCAGCGGTTAGAACGTTAGACGCTACATTTGGAGGAATTCGGACCTTCTCACCGTACGGGTTTTGTTTCTAACTTATTTATTGTTCAGGCTTAACAATACTTACTTTATTTATTTATACTTTGGAACGCTCTGCCACGCCATATTCAGAAAGCGCACAATAGCTTTCAAGCAATTAGTTCGCAATTTTATGTTGGAGTCTCAATCTGCATTCCATTAGTGCAGGATTACATATAAAAAGAAAATTGGTATATGTAAAGTACTTATTGTATACAGCTGTTTTCTGGAAATTATCGAGGTATGTTCGTGTTTTTTTCTATCATGAAAATTTTTAGATATCGTGTTTTCACGCCATATAGTTCTCGCTCTATTCTCAATTTTAATATATATAGTTTTTCCAATGTGATTCATTCAACGCTTCAGTCACTTATGCGGAATCAACCAAAGCCATTTGAGGTAATATGTATATAGACTCTTTAGTCATTTGTACTATTTTGTGTGCAATAAAGTTTAAATAAAGAAATAAATAAATTCAATTCCTAGTGAGTCCAATTCGTGATACTTTTTAAAATTGGTCCACATCTGTGTGGTCCAGGTAGGTCAGGAGAGTCAATTACGTTGTTCTGGAATTCATATTGTAGGGAACTTCCTATTTTGAGACCAGGTCATTTGTGTGTTATTTGGAAATATAATGATGACGCCAGAGGACTGTTTCAGATGATGTCTCTCTTTACAGAGTCCTGGCAGAATACTAGTGTCGTGTGGTACCGCGGCATTCACACACAACTATAATTCTAATGCAATTTCAATTGATGTTTTAGTAAATTTCTAAAAACATTCATCGTATCATTAATTTATAGATTTCAAAGAAGCAATAACACTTTGCATTTTGTCATAAATAAATTAATGAAAAAAAAATTCCCGCCCATTTTGTGGTAGTACTTCTCCGGACGTATTCTTTCACAAGGCGCTCTACTGCTACAATATATCTATCTATCTACAGCTTGGAATAATGCATCGAATGTCAATGTATGTACGTGCAACTTAAAATCCTTTGCTTTTATTACTATGCCTACGTCACTGCCGCATCGTCATATTGCCGTTGCCAGCGACCGCGGAGTGTAAGGTCAACCTGTCCGATTAAATTTATTCCTGCTAAGTTGACACGTACTACACGCCACTGTATGGGCTGTTTACACGAGGTAATTACAGCAGAATTTCAGCTATGCGGTAGAAACCGATTTAAATTATT